GGATCACAACAGCCACCCCTCCTCCCCTGCCCTGGCACCGTGGCTGGTGCCACACCGTGAACCCAGCTGGGCACATTTCCAAGAGGGGCGCCCCCTCCTCGGGCCCCAGCCAGGTCTTGGTAATGCATGCCAGGTCTGCCCCCTCCTCGGTGATCAAGTCACATATGAGGAGGGCCTTGTTGTTAACCGACCTGGCATTAAGCAGCAGCAGCTGAAGGCCAGGGCCCCTACGAACCTGCTGACCAGGGCCTGGGAATGAGCCAGGAGGGCCGGAACACACCACCGGTAACAAACACCGGGGGCATCTTCCTTGAAGATGGCCCGCCCTCCAGCTCCCGCCATATCATCCCTTACCCATCACCACCTTGATAGTGTAGCCCACTGCATAGTCCCCAGGGGTTCCGGGCCCAAATATCTCCAATCCTGGACCTCCGGGGTCCATAATCCGGGGCAAGGGTTCCTCCTTCCAACCAGTCATCCTCATTCACACCCAAACGCTCACAGGTGAGGGAGGGTCGCCCCAGTGCACCAGCTCATGCTCTTGGTGCCGCCAGGACCCACCCCCCACCGGACCTTACACCCCCACACACCCTCTGCCACCCTGAACGACCTCTCTCACTAGTTGGCAGGGTGGGCATCCCACTCACTCCCTCACACCTCCTGTCTCCCACCCAGAAGGTGGATCCTGGTATCCTCATACACTCCCAGACTCCCTCCCAGACTCTCACTCCCAGGAGGGTCCCAGACTCACACTGGAGAGACCCCGCGGTTCTCCACTGGCCCGGGGGGGGGGTTAAATGGGGGTGGCTAGATTCTTAATCCCCAGTTCATTATTTTACACTTAACAGATCCTCCAACAAGTTTAGATGAGGTGATTGTGTTATCTTTTTTGAGCCCCAAAGTTTTTAGTCTCTTTATAGGAATTACTGTATCCTTATTCAAGGCCCAATCACCATTGAGCTTGCCCAACACTGAAGTCAGAGCATCTTTTTTTGGGGCTTATTCACAGCAGGGATGCTAGGGTGGCTGGAGTCTATAGCAGTGTTTCTCAACCTCAAAAAGTTGAAGATGTGTGGACTTCAACTCCCAGAATTCCCTAGCCAGCATGCTGGCTAAGGAATTCTGAGAGTTGAAGTCCACACAAATTTCCTGAGGTTGAGAAACACTGGTCTACAGTAATAGTTTCTAGGAAATCAAGAATGGTGGTAATGCAGTGGAATCAAAAGAGCCCAGGCAAGCAAGGAGGAAAAAAGGTTGTAGGTATCGGGTACATCAGGTGCACTGTGTGGCCCAAGTGTCTTGTGTTTCCCACCAATTATTTGCTTCAGTTCATTATAATCTGTCAGCAATAGAATCAATGTAGTCTTCAGAATTCTCATTTCTTCTTTTCTTATACTTAGTTTTAGGTATCTTATTTATATAAGGACAAAGGTGTTTCCACGCACTGCAGAGTCAGTGTTCTCTGTCAATTTTTTACAAACCCAACACAATAAAGGATAAAAGTACTTGTATTTCCCATTTCTGTCTCTATGTAACAACCAGACCAGGACATTGTAATTGCCATCTCCATCATGCCATCACTGCCTTTTCAGGACATCGGTATGTTAGAAATAACAAGCAAGTTTGTTTAGACATATATATTAGGCAAACATTTTCACTTGCTTATCTGCAAAGCTGATGACAGCTTAACTCAAACATTATAAAGTAGCCTTTCTTTTGGGATATGTCAAAATAATTAACCTCAGAGGATCTGTTTTCTGAAAGTGTTTAATTATATGACGTATTTACATTTTGAAACCATATCTTTCTATATTCACCAATTGATATAATCAGCCATGCTCGGCAAATATGTATAAATGGAAGTGTACATTAAAAAAAGTTTGCTTATAAACAAAAGGCACAGACTTGCAAATATGAACCTCCAGCATATGGCATAGTATCTGGAAAAGATAATTAGTGGGGTATTGTTGTTATTTTGGAGAGGAAGATCAAAAGAAAACAATTTGAAGTTGCTTAACGGCAACTACTTCAATGTTTTAAATTGTAGACTGATGGGGAACGGTTAGAGGACCATGACAAAATTCTGTTACCTATTTCTGCCTATGTTGTTAGTAAGGAAAGAAAGCTATAGCTGCAAAGCTAACTGATGGGACTAAGAAAAAAAAAAGTTTTACAACTCTTGTTCAAATATTGAACTAACAGAGGACCATGAATTAAGCCCCATTTCAGAAATCTGACTGCAACTTAAAATAGATAGATTGCAAAACTATTGATTCTTAATTGTTTTCATTCAGTGAATTATGACTTGAGAAACCAGGAACAGTAAATATCAAATTATTATAAGAGAATTTTATCTGTCCATCTGTTTTTACCATTTAATAATCAAGGAAAAGAACCACTGCATTTGAAGTGAAAATATGAACATTATTTAATAACTGATCCTCTGTAATAAACAATTTGAAAATATTTTACAAGGAATCACACACACAATATTTTACAAAGATTTTAGTCTTTTTTAAAATTTTCCAACTCTTCTGTACAAAAAAAAAATTAAAGTAACAAAAAATGAATTATTGGGAGAAAGCTTTTTAAGTGAAGAATGATAGGAATAGGATTCAAGCAGCTATAAGAGGAGCAACTTGATGTTTTATTTTATTTCTTAACTTAAAATATAATATATATATTTATAGATATGTATATTTTTTTCATTTTTTTCTCAGATGAGCAGCACCCAACTAGACTACAGATTTACATACACTCCTGGTAACACAGCCAGCCATCTGGTCAAAGCACAGTTCCCATAGACATAACCAAACACACACTGAAAAAGCTACAAGCAAAATGACCTTTAACCTTGTCATTATCAATGAATCACCTCCTTGTCCCTTGACTCTGGAGTCAAATTTCCAAGATCTTGTCAGGATCATGGCTCTCCCCCTCCTTTTCCAACCTTCTACCCTACCACAAATTTTGTCCAAACTGATTTTAAAAGGAATTAGTCATGTTAGGTGGTTTGAAAAATGGCTATGTCTCACCTCTGCTATGATGCCTTTGTATGAAGAAATCAGCACATAGGGCCGATGGAATTTATTTTCACACAGTCCTTTACTTTTGCTAGAAAAAGGGTTTCTAACTGGGACTGACAAGGTCAAAATAATTTACTGGCTTTTACTGTCTTCAATCTTCCCTTTAATAGCCAGGTCTCTTGCTCTCTAGAGACTTTTTTTTTTTTTTTTGCAGATTCATTTTCTCCAAAGCATCTTTCCTACTTCTCTGAATTCAGGAAATTGGCTTAATCCAAGTTTATAACTCCTTGCATGGCTTAGTATTTACATGAGATTTTTCTTTGTTGATGCCACCATGTCAACTGAATATTCCTTTTAATTCCTCCCATTTCATCATCTTTTACTTTCTTTTCAGAGCTATATTTTTCTGCCTTCAGAGCTTTGGAAAATATTACCATTCTGTTTCCTGCAGCCTGTGAAACTTCTAATTTCCTCAGGAGACAGAAGAGAAGCAAAATGGTTGTGCTCTTGGCTTCCCACCTCCCAGTGTATCTTCCCCTGTCAATACCAACTTCATCCATCATCAGTGGGAAAAAAAAAGACTGGAGGAAGACTTAATGACAATATACAAGTGATTCTGACTGGGACATAGCACCAACCATTCAGACTCTAAGATAAGCTGCAGATAACACAAATTATGCGAATGGGTATGCCAGTTCCAGTTTACAGTTGAACAACTATTTGGAAAGAGCTGGTTGTTGCCTAGCTCAGTCTCCTATTTACATATGCATCTGAAGAGCTCATTTTTAGAAGGCAAATTTTGCTACCATAGCAGGGAAAGAGCAAAGTATTTATTTCTGTCCAGACCTGCACATATTGCAATACGATTAACTCATGCACAAACATCAATCTTGCCCACCCCAACCCCCTCTCAAAAAATGGAATCATCTACTTGTATTGAAAACTGGGCTATAGTTTCACCTTCCAAATGCCAGTTTTCTAACTCTGGAAAACTGGCCCTCAGAACCTTTCTTCCTTTTTGTACTAATTGTGAAAAATGTGAGAAAAGACTACTATTGAATGTATAGGTAAATAACAGAACCCTTTTCTAACCAGTGATCCCTTTGCTGTGGTTTTTGCATATATTGCAAATGAACTAATTGGAGGCAGGGCAGCATTCCTCTGACATGGTACTCAGTGATTCCCTGACTGATAAATGAAGAGGCTGAATCATGTTTGATATGTAGTGATCAAGGCAATTTCTACAATATGCTATCTTACAGTATGTCCTCTGCTGTGGGACTGTTTTTGTATTTCACTTCTAGTATTCTCTGTTCTGCCATCTCCCTTCCCCTCCGAACCTGAGTCTAGAATCAACTAATGGTGAGGGAGTTATTTGGCTAGATATGCACCCAGAAATTAAAAAACAAACAAACCTGATGAAACTTTTACCAAGACTGAAAGTGAATGCACTCCAGCTTAAGCTGAGCAAATGCCATAATTATTAGAAAGGATAATATTGTTCTATAGGTGGTCCTCTGCAGTTAGCTCGGTTGTGAGGGACTCTTTTATCAACATTGCTCACAATTTCCTCTGCATGAGCTTTGCTGTCCTAGAGGAACACTTGTTCTGAAAGTTGAGAGTCATTGTCTCACATGTGCCCAGAGGTATATCAATTCAGTGTTTTACCGCATATGAGCAAAATATCATGATGTCTGATTAAGATAAATTATCCATTCTGGACTGAGCTCAGGAGAAACCAGTTCTGTGTGTTTGTAACAAAAGCTGCCTGTGCAGAGTAGTTGTTGGCTACAACCAGTGATGCTACTAAACCATCCTTCCCCTGCTGCCTCCAGATTTCTTGACATTTCAGAGTTAGATCAGTAATAATAATAATAATAGATGTATGGGTGGGGCTTTAAAATTTTGTTTTAAAGCAGGCAGATCTAAATCTAGGATGAAAAAGAAGGAAGCCTGAGGACCAAATCAATGTTTTCATCAGTGGCATAAATATTCTCTTTAAACAAAGGTGTCTAGAAACGGACTCACCTCAAGAAAGGAAAAACCATAGGAATTACAAGATATACTTGCACCATTATAGATGTCAATCACATTTTTTTTTACTTGTCCTTGATTATTACATACATAAACACACCTGTACGTATATTTATGTAAACAGCAGAGTGTGCTTCATTGTAACTGCAATATAAGATTTCATTGGGTATGTTGAAATAATAACATCTCTGAGGGCACCAGCCAAAAGTCAAGGACAAAAATAACACCAGTTCAACCCCAGCAGACTTTAACTTTGACCTTGAATAATTTGGTTATAGCAAGAACAAAGAGTCTTGTGGCTGACCAAGAAGTGTGTCATGGCCATCAATACAGGTAATGTGGTAAGGTATTCAGAAGCAGGGAAAGGCCGTGTTACCTAATCAGCTTCTTGTATGAATGAGAAGCACTTCAGGTCTGATGCCATTTCCATGTATACACTCTGTGCTCCAAATTTGTCCATCTCTGAACATCTGTTACTGATGAATATATACTGGCTCCAGAGCACTAGCCAAACAGTCACAGACAAAGTGGCATAAGGAAGACAAAGGTTTTACTCAGACGTATGTGGAATGAATCTGGGGGATTTCAGCCAAGCACACTACAGACAGTTGCCCACATCACAAAACAACCACACAATTTGGCACAATTTTGTAGTCTCTGCTCAGAAGAGACCAGGGAGATTCTGAGAGTGTATCCACAACCAGTACAACTGCTTACCACTGGTAGTATACACAAGGAATAATGGTGCGATCTCTACTGTACATCAGAGTTAGTTAGAGCTACGTATTTATAATCTCCCAGTTTACTTCTGTAGTAATCTATACAAAGCCAATGAAGCAGAACTACTATCCTTAGCACCAGTGCAATTGTTGTGTACATAAGCTGGCTGGAAAAAATGTAGACTTGGAAGGAGAGGTCTTTTTAGTTGCTTATTTGAAACAAGGAGGATTCATTTGGGGGAGAGTTATATGTAGACAAAGGAACTGGAATGAAGTTAGTTTTTGAGAGATTAAGAAATTATTTCCTGATCTCAAGACAAAGTTTACTGAAAAGCAAGCAAGCGTACCACTGGTTCTACTTCCAGATTTGTCAAGTATTTTTTCCTACAATAATTTCAAGTACCACGTATTTGCACTTTACAAGCATAATTATTACAGCACTAATATCTTTCCACTGCTGCCCTCTTTAGATTATATCATGAGGACCACAGAAATCTTACTTCTGAGAACATCAGTAAATAATTTTGTCTAAGGATATGCCTGCAGTGTTGGCTTAGGAATGGTTGGCATTCAACAATTGTACACTTCCCAAGCTGCACTATGTTTGCAATTAAACAACTGGTGGGACCATTATAAGTGGCAGAGGCTGCATTAAAGTGTAAGTTGTGAGATCAGAACTCCAAAGTTCTGGTTTAGTACTAAACCACGAAACTAAGATCACAGAAAGTTCTGATTCAAACGTATTCTGTTAATCAAACTGGGTTGTCTGCCTTGTTTAGGAACCTTCAGATTCAAGTAATTATGACATATTGTTTGCTTTCCAGCTTTTCTTGTAACAAAGCGAGTGAAATTCATAATACTTGAATGTAATTCATAACAGGTAGCATGTCAGAGTTTGGATTAAAAAGGGTTTTGATTAAAAAACTGAGCATATGAAGTGGAAATGAGTGCATCGCTGTGCACAACGTTTTAGCAGGCTTCTATATCTGCAAATCACCCTTGTGCTACGGGGAGAAACCCTGCAGTTCTTGGTGTTGCAGCTAACTGCTTCTCACTGATGAAGCTGCATCATACTGTTCTGCAGTTCCTCATGTTGCCCAGAAGGTTCTGGTTGTCCTGCCATATTAAGCAGGAACAAAACAAAACAAAAAAGGGTTCTTCTCATTCTGCTGGCTATTTCAAGTGTAGAGGCAGTGCACTAGGGGTATTTGGCTGAAGAGAAGGATCTTCTGGAATTGTCAGGGGACTGGAAGCATTTCAGTTCATAATGTGTAGCAAGGTATACTTATTACCATATGTGCGCTAGTTAACAGGCACAAAGACTGGTAACCTGCTCAAGACAAGTCCTAAAAACAGGCATTTTTTAAGGACACTGGTTGATGAGTTATAGTATTACAATTTCTTTCAAATCTTCAATAGATTATATGGTTGCAGCCACTTAAAATAATAATTCCAGACATGAAACATATGCTTGCAAAGTCAGCAGAGGTGTTCTGTGGGCTTGAGCTGAGTGGCAGATGTTTTAACCGCCATCACTGTGAAGCAGAGCATTTTCATATCCCCCGGCTCAAGCACATAGACACTGAATTAGCTCTCTGCAAAACATCTACTTTTACAGGCCCAGTTGTATCCCATTCATCGCCACCGTATTTCCATATTGGGAGGAAGGAGGGCACTAAAAGGTTAGATTTCTGCACAAAGTCCAGGAAGAAAACCTTTGGCTATCACTTTCATGGGTTGGTTTGGCACAAAGTGCTGTTGCCACTGTGGTGGAAAATATTCTTTAGAGTTTAGAAGAAAAGGACCTGAAGTTCACCTTTGTCTTAGTCACCTCCGTAATTGGCTTATCTTAAAGACTGGATACTGCAGAACTACCAACTGAAGACTTCATAGTGATTTGGGGAGGAGAACAGCTCCTAAAATAGCTCATATTGTTTTCTCAATGGATTTAAATAAGGAATGGGGGAAGCAGGAAAATAATCAAAGGGGACTGCTGGATTGAAACCATAATTGTTACTTGCTAGAATCATTCTATCTTGCTATTCATTTTATTAAAGATTGTCTCAGCTACTGTATCCTCCAACCATACATGGATTACTGGAATGGTATACAAAAGGATCTTCATGCACTTCTTTCTGCCCTGCTTGGTCTTCAAGTTCTCTTTACAGAATAAATGGTTTAAATAAATAATACTGACCTTAAAATTCAAGTGACATCCTTTGTGTTTGTGTGTATGTTTCTTTCTTGCTGACAATAAATACTATAATCTCTCAGTCTAAATGCTGGGAAATCAGATGTTGAAAGATCTAGATTAAAGTGTTTAGGATAAAAATAATAATTCATCATTGATTGGAGATGGGATCCACCTAATGAAAGGCAGAGATAACGATGGCCTTGGAAAGCACATAGTGAACTGGTGGAATGGAGATGTTGGGGTGATACCCTAGGATTACTTTGAGTTTGACAAGCCACTGGAATTGGCTGGAAGGTTTGCTAGATTACAGAATCAATTTGGCAAGACTATTCCATTTTTTCTGTTCTAGTGATCTGTGTTGTTTCTGCAGTTTTCATTATTGGTATGGGAAGATACATTATTTCAGACACAATAACATTGTCAGTATTGTTGATTAAATACTTTTAAGACCATGATAAAAATCCTTCAGATGAAAACTAACAAAGGTCTCCCAGAATTCCACAGATTCAATGGAAAAACAAAATTATGGGGCCATTGTTCTTTGCATTTGGCCAACAGCTCAATGAGTGGAAAGGGGAACAATGAATCAAAGCTCAAGAATGTTCCCTGTGTGGAGAAGATCACGGTGGTCCATGCTTCCCCTAGTCATCTCAAAGCTCTCTTTAGCACAACCTGCTGTGCAGAGACACTGGAAAGGCAAGGAGAGAATGGAGGAAAAGGAAAAACAATGGGAACAGCTTCTGGACTTCTGAGTGAAGAAAGCAACAATCCTCATGGGTGAATGCCAAGGTGCAGCCAGAATTGATGGGATTAGGCAGCAGTCATCCTCTAGCAAGTCTGGAGGGGATGATGATGGGCATAAAATAAAAAGGATGGGTTAAGCTAAATGGGCGTTTCAAAGGCAAAATGCCAAGGGCAGCGGATGGTGACTTGCAGTCAAATAGAGAAGAAGTAACTGCAAGCATAACAAGATATTCAAGGAAGGTCTAAAGGAGGCCCCTCTGCCACAATCTGAGGTGTCTTCCTATAGAAACAATAGAAAGAGAGAGAGAGGTTTCTTTAAGAATATTTACTTTTGCTGAAACTCATTACATAAATTTGTTTTCTTGCTGAAACTCGCTACATGTATTTTTAAATTTTGTAAAGTTAAGCAAAATAATCATGCCAGTAAATTCTTGCATTATCCAAGGCCTTGTCTCCTCTATTCCTTGTGCTATTAGTACAGCATTGAAATGTCTGGGAATCTGGACTAAACTTAGTTTCACAGATTCATTAGACAGGAAAGAAGAAATTGTTCTATTGTTTTCAGGATAAAGAATGAAGCACAATGAGATTAAAAGGACATCCAGACCAATGTCTTGTTCAAACAGAGGTTAAAATTCATGCCATTTCTTAGAGTATCTACTTAGGAATTAATTTTCAGTGGTTCTTTCAGATGGCCTTTTATCACATATACATACAGCACTCTAACTCATCAAAATTGCATATGTGTAGACATTACCATACCTCTTGTAATACACATTTGTTTTCTCATCTAGTCTATATTTTTCTTTAGAAAAAGAAACAACAAGAAGAAACAAAGAATAGCTGTATTAGTGGTTCTAGAGTCCAATAAACTTGGCTCTGTCACTTAAAAGTGAATATTTTCTAGTGAGAGAGGGCAAAATATAAATGCATTTATAACTGCTGGCAAGAAGATTGGAAGCCACTTCTTCATAATCTTCCCTTCCCTTCCCTTCCCTTCCCTTCCCTTCCCTTCCCTTCCCTTCCCT